TAGTTCAGGGGTGAAATATTTAACACAGATGACCTCAGATATGGCCCACGTACACATTCTAACATATTTAGACCGGTTCAGGGACTTGATAAATAATGCGGTATGCTTCACTTGGGTGAACGCGATGACCAGTGTCTACCAAGTGAGCGAGAATCGCATTTGTGATAGATCCGGAATCACCTTGACTCAGCCAGCGCGGATAGATAACTGCCGTGCCGTACGACCGACGTAGAGTGTGTCACAAATGCATCTGAACGAGTAAACAATCATTGAAACTGTCAACATCGGTAGTTTACCTTTATTGCGTAAGGTTATCAGTGGCAAATTTTTGAAAGAGCATTGTAGGTGCGCTGGGTTGGATGTGACTTTTACCGCTCCATTCAGTCACCTTATGAGGGTTTCAGCGGCAACTTCGCCCTTTGAAAGAAAACTAACAAACAGGTCCTTTTCCACTCTATCAGTATGTGCTTTTTTGTACCTGTTCCATCATATTTCGTTGAATAAAACGGTCGGGATAGCTTCTGAGCACGTTGGAGATAAATTTGAGTTCATTTTCCAAAAATTCTTTCTCCGAGCTCTAGATACTAAATAGTTTATCAGGTTCCTCTTCAGTTTAATCGGGGCATAATTGTAAAAATTCGTGTTTTGAGCACTCCATGTTTTCTTCCAGCGTTGTATAGATCTATCACGCCTTCCAATGTGGAGTACATTTAGCAACGGTATTCGATCATCTGCTTCTACCTCCTTTGTAAATATTAATGCCTCGTGTGCGGAGTTGAACTTTTCTAGTAGTTGATCCAGTTCGCATTTTGAATCAGCTATACAAAATGTGTCGTCTATAAAGACTAGTAATTGATTATTCTCCAGCATCGCCATGAAAAAATTCACCACAAGGGGTCCTACTGGTGATCCCATTGCTACTCCATCCTTTTGTGAGTGGACCGTTCCGTTGAAAAGAAACAGCGTTATACGTACACCGAAATAAAAGTTCGCGTAGCTCTTCTGTGGCTATCCTCAAATTAACTTCGTTATCAGTAAGATGTTTTATGATGAACTGGATGGTTTCCATCAATGGCACATTTGCGAAAAGAGACGTGATATCCAGTAACAGCATCACCTTATCTGACATGTCTATCTCGTATTACTTCAATAAATATATACCGATAACCGTTTCCTTTCGGGTTCAAGGATTTCAGCCAACCATTAAGCGACAGCATAGTATGGAGAATTTGTCATCGATAGGATGGGACGAAGGGGAACCAGAGCTTTATGGATTTTTGGCAAACCGTATAGTCTCGGAATGCATGAACTGGTAGGTCTTATGCATTTATAAAGTTCACTGCTTATGTAACCCTCATGATTGCGTCGTTTCAATGTCCCAGCGATTTGTCGTTCAGTGGGCGTGTTTTGTCTTTTTTCTGTTTGTTTGTGAACTTGTCCTCAGCACAGATCTGAGAATGCGGTGTGTAACACACACACACAGACGCGCATACATGAAGTGAATAATTCCTCACATTTTTATTCTTCCTCTCCCAACCCCTAGGCTCTTCCCCTTCATATAAACTGTAAAAGCAAAATGTCATTAGGACACGGAGTGTTCAACTGCAGGTTACTGAGATTTCGGTTACAGGCCTCGTGTTTCGAAGAGGAGAAACTTGTTTTCGTTAAAACGAATCTTCTTCCAGGGTGTACAGAGCCGTAAACGGGTCGCCTGCCTTGAAAAAAGCTGACCAAGACCTGTCAGAAAAAGGGCGAGACTAGCCAAAACCGTGTACGTACAATCGGTGTACGGGTGGCTATCCCCCTCTGCACACCCCTTTGGGTCCTCGATCCGGGGTTTTCATGTGGAGGTCCTGCGTCATCGCCTGGAGGACCCTTGAATCCGGGAAAAGAAATCTACCTAACCGTGCAATCACCGTTGGGGAAGGGTTAGAGAAGGAAAGGCATTTTTACAAACCTAACCTGGCATCGTTTGGGAGTACGCGACGGAGCGTAATAGCATACACTCACCTATTCCGAGAAGCGGAGCGGTTTAAGGACTGCTCTCCCACTGGTGCTAGTTTGTGGGGGCGTTTGGGGGAATGGGGTCTACTACTACTGGCAAGAATGATGGTTCGACGGCTTCCAACCGTCAAGTGCTAGATTGTGGTGATGGCGTTTCGTTTATGTTGGTGAAGGCTAGTTTCACCCGTTCTAACGTAACGCTGTCGCGTTTGCCTTCCTTGTCGATGACCATCGTCCTATCTGAACGGCACAGGACGCGATGTGGTCTTGGGTATGGCTGCTGTAACGGATTTCTTACGGCATCCATCCGAAGAAAAGCACAGGGGCAAGTGAATAACGCTGCAGGTTGGTGAACCTGCACCACACGCTCCCTTGTCGGAGTGGATTTTAGCTGGCGCATGCGATGCTTAATGCACCCTACGAAATCACCATAGTCGAAATCAGTCGGCTTTAGTGGAGAGACTAGTTCACCAGGCAGACGTAGACAACGACCGTAAGCTAGTTCGGCTGGTGATGCGTTCAAATCATTTTTAACTGTAGCTCGAATCCCCAGCATGACTAATGGTAGCTCTTCTGACCAGCGCGAGTTTTCTAACGCCCGCAAGGCAGCCTTGAGGTGCCTATGGAAACGTTCCATCATACCATTGGCAGCAGGGTGGTAGGCTGTCGTCTTATTATGTTGTGTGCCTAGGGTATCTAATAGTTTGGAGAACGCTCCTTCGAAATGTGCCCCTCGGTCGGTTGTGACGATTATCGGACAACCTACTGATTGAGGAGCGCGTAGGCTACGATTTCTGAGGGACACCCGTGGATTAAGATGGCTTCGGGTCATCTCGTGAAACGGTCGACGCATATTAGTAAGTATATAGTGTCACCTGACCTAGGGAGAGGTCTCACGATGTCTGCATGAACGTGGTGGAGACGTGCATCAAGTGTCGAGAACGAACCTATTGCTGGACGTGTGTGTCTATGCACATTGGAACGTTGACATTGAAGACAATTACGAGTCCATAAACGCACGTCGCGATTGATGTGGCACCAGACGAATCGAGAAGCGATTAGTTTGACGGTGGCGCGGATGCCTGGGTGTGAGATACCGTGAATCTGACAAAGTATTGAAAATCGGTTCTCGTATCTCGGGTGAACTGAATTCTACTTCTCCTGTTCGCCGAGCTTGGCAGTTTGTTTGCAAACGTTTCATCACCAGCCGAGGTGACATCATCAGTGCTTGTGAAGTAGC